ACAGAGCATGAACGGGGGAGGGGCAGAGAGAGAGGGAGACACAGAATCGGAAACAGGCTCCAGGCTCTGAGCCATCAGCCCAGAGCCTGACGCGGGGCTCGAACCCACGGACCGCGAGATCGTGACCTGGCTGAAGTAGGATGCTTAACCGACTGCGCCACCCAGGCACCCCCTTTTTTTTTTTTTTTTAATTTTTTTCAACGGCATCTCAATTTTTAAATCTCGTTTGTGATTTCTTCTTTGCCCCACTGTGTAATTTCCACACATTTGTGGATTTCCCAAATTTCCTGTTGTTGACTTATAATCTAATACCATTGTGATCAGAGAACATATTTTCTGTGATTTAAATCCTTTTAAATTTATTGAGCATTATTTTATGGCCTAACACATGATCTGTTCTGGAAAATGTTCTGTATCTGCTTGAGAGGCATTATATATTCTGCTATTGTTGCACAGAGCGTTCTATAGATGTCTTCTAGGTATAGTTGATTCATAGTGTTGTTGAAATATTTTATTTTCTTCACCATTTGACTTGTTTCCATTATTGAAGTATGGTACAGAGGTCTCCATTCTTTTTTTTTTTTTATTTTGACACTGGCTGAAAGAGAACTTTTTATTGCTTTATGTACAGAAAATTCAGCATCCATTTAGCCCAGTTGGGTGGCCATTTCTTTAACCTTTGCCTTTTCCAACTTGGCGATGCAAGCCAGACTTTGGACCCAGGACATTGCCTCCCCAGTGGGGGTGGATTTCATCATATCTGTCTTTTCAATTGGTCCTGATGGCTTCCACCTGCTTAGCCAGACCTCCTTTGTCTTCTGACTTAACCTGTGTGAAGGTGACAGTGGTACAAGTCTTCCTGTGAACCAGACAACCCAGCCTGGCCTTCCCCTTGATAATGCACTAGGGAACCCCCATCTTAGGACACATGTCAGGCAGGAAGACAACCAGCTCAATGGGGTCCACATCATGTGCAATCACTACCAGCTGAGCCTTCTTTGTCTCCACTAAGGTGGTAACAGTATTAACCCCAGCTCACAGGATGGGCAGCCTCTTAGTGGGGACATCCCCTTTGCCAGCAGCTTTCTTCTCAGCCTGGGCCAACAATCTATGCTTCTTCTCTTGCTTTATCTCTAGTCTGTATTTGTGGGCCAGTTTAAGCAGTTGAGTAGCTGTTTGGTGGTCCAAGCCCTGGGTGAACTGGCTAATCACAGGTGGCACTTTTAAACGTTCATAGAGAATAACCCTTTGCTGCTGCAGCTAGATGTAGCAAGGCCATTTGACAAAGTGGGTGAGTCCCTTTTAGGCTGAATGTCCCATCTGATGCCAAAATTCTTGGGCCTTTTATCAAATGGGATTGACTAAATTCTTGGCCTCCTGCTTCTTCACAACAGCAGGCACCAGGCCACCTTCCTCTCCATGACATTCCTTCCTTTCAGCATCTTGGATGGTTGGAGAAGAGAGAAACTTTAGGTATCCATTCTTAATATTGAATTGTTATTTGTCACTTGAGTTCTGTCAGCTGCTGCTTTCTATATTTTGCTGCTCTGTTATTAGATGCATATTTGTTAATAATTGTTATGTCTCCCTGATGGATTGGCTCTTATCATTATGTCTTTGTCTCTAGTAACAACTTTTGTTTTAAAAATCTACTTTGTCTTATACTAGCATAGCCACTTCACATATATTTTACTATTTACAAAGTACATCTTTTTTTCTCCTTTACTTTCAACCTGTTTGGTCTTTGACTCTAAAGTGTCTATCTAGAGGTGACTGGCTGGCTCAGTTGGTAGAGCATGCAACTCTTGATCTTGGGGTTGTAAGTTTGAGCCCCATGTGGGGTGCAGATAATACTTAAAGATCTAAAGTGTCTACCTTGTATACAGTGTAGAGTTACATATTTTTCATGATTCTTCCAGTCTCTTCCCTCAGTTGGAGTATTTAATCAATTAACATTTAGTAAGTACTGACCAATAAGAGGATTTACATCATGTGTTTGCTATTTGTTTTCTAGATGTCTTGTGTCTTTTTATTTTCTCTATAATTAGTGCTTTCTTTTGTGTTATATAGATATTTTCTAGTGTATCATTTAAATGCCCATGTCATTTCTTTGGCTATATTTTTTTAGTTACTGTCTTACTTTTTGCCTTTAGGATTACACTTACCATTTTAATTTAAAACAATCTAATTCAGATTAAAACTGCCTTCATTTCAATAGCCTATAAAAATTTTGTTCCAGTATATGTTTCCTACCCCCTTCTTTATACCATTATTATTATTATATGGATTATAACATTATATAAGCCTATCAACACAATTTTGTAATTACTGCTCTATGCCATTGTTAAAACAGGAGAAAATGATTACATACGAACACATATATTCTTCGATATTTTCCTATAAAGTTATATTTACCAATATTAATTCTCATGTGAATTCAAATAACCATCTAGTGTATCTGTTGTGGACCCCCTAGAGTACTGATAAAAATTTTTATACTTTTCAGCTCCAGAATTCCTAAAAACTTTTTGTTTTTAAAATTTCTCTTTATTCATGTTGTCCATGTGGTAAGACCCCATTTTCTTTGCTTCTTTAAACATAGTTTCTTTCATTTCTAAAACCTATTTACAAAGTCTTTGTACTTAAAGTCCAAAATGTGGACTTTCTCAGGGACATTTTCTCTTGGCTGGTTTTTATTCTGTATGAGGTACACTTTTTTGTTTCTTTACATAACTCATAATTTTTTTGTTACAAACTGTATGATTAAATAATAACTGGTTTCAGGTACATTTTTGTTTTGTTGCTAGGTTTTGGTTTTTCTTGTTGCTACTTACTTGTTTAGTGACTTTACTGAACTAATTTTGTAGATTCTGTATTCCTTTCAGTGTACGGCCACTGAGTTCTCCAGTAGCATTTTTAAGTTCTTGCCTTTAATTTTTGTTTTAAGGCCTCCTTCAAAAGGATCACCCTCTGTCAGCATAATCTACTTGTTTGCCAATGACGGGTTAGAAAATTCCCTTAAATGCCTTGTCTGTATGTCTTCCTCCCTTTGCCAGGGGGAATCTATGTGAGAAGAAGTGCCTTAAAACTTAGGTTGACAGCCAGACTTAGCTTTTACGTCCTTGTTCCAGGGCTTCAAGAACAGCCACTAGTGAGTGAGTAGGGCCTTATCTTTTCCCAGGTCTTTGCCGGGCCACCTTTTAAGCTCCAGGAATATGTCAGGACCTTTCAAAGTTTTTTGTGGTCACCTAGGTCTCCAAAATGTTTTTTAGATTCCTGGCCAGGTTTGGGGTGGCTTAGTTGAGCTTCCGACTTCAGCTCAGGTCATGATCTCACAGTTGGTAAGTTCGAGCCCCACATTGCAGGCTCTGTGCTGACAGCTCAGAGCCTGGAGCCTGCTTTGGATTCTGGGTCTCCCAGTCTCTCTGCCCTTCCCCTGCTCTCTCTCTCTCTCTGTCAAAAAAATAAACATTAAAAACATTAAAAAATTAAAATTCCTGGCCAGGTTCCTGTTTGCCCAACAAGAAATCATAACCCTAGGTGGCTGTCATCTTGCCACCCAGTTGCTATTGTTTTAGTAGCACCCAGGCAATAGGGTCCCCCCGCCCCCACCATGAGCTGAGTTCTGACTCAAATACCCACAACACCTTGAGAATAGATTTTCCAGGGAGCTGCTTATTCAGACATAATATTGTCTGTGTTCTGGGGATGATGTTTTTAGTGTAGCTGTAAAAGAAGTCCATCCTCTCTGTTGGCTACCAGGCTGCCAACTTTTTATCACTATGGCATTAAGCTGGCAGGTGGGAAGTGGGTAATGGGAAAACCCTCAAGCTAAAATGGTATAGACTCCATTGTCTTACCGAGGTTCAGTAGTTTCTCTTAAGTAATTCTCAGTTTGTTCTGTGGCTTTGGTTAATTTTCAGAGTTTTGAAATGGTTACTTTAGTTGTTTTGCCAGTATTTTAATTATTTTTATGGGAAGGTGAGTTCATGAACGTTCTTGTTCAGCCATTCCGGAAGTCTGTCTCCTCCAGGATTCTATACTGGTTGAAGAATAATGGCAATGCAAAGACAGACAAAAAAAGCAGCCTGTTACAGAGACATGTTATCCTTTATTATTTCAATTTGCTTTTCTTCTCTCCTCTCCCCAACCCCCCCATGGCTTTATCTCTGTGAAGTTTAGTGTAGTGAGAAGAATCTTGGCTTTGACGTTTGGTCACTCCTGGATTCATTTACTAGCTCTGCAACAGTAAGATATCTACTTTTTCTTGAGCCTCATACAAGTTAGTCATGATGGCACCCATTCTCACTGATTCACAATGAAGACTGAGAAAACATTTAATGACTATTCTACCAAATCTGCACATACTAGGTGACCAATAAAGCATTAATATAATGTTATCATTATATTACCCTTACTGGTTTCTGTCATTTTTTATCCATTTGTTTTCTTTTACTGACCTTTAGGATTTTCATGAATCCTAGCATAAAAATATTGATTACTGGGGCACCTGGGTGTCTCACTCTTGATTTCAACTTGGGTCATGACCTCACAGTTCATGAGATTGAGACCTGCATCAGACTCTGCGCTGGCCATGGAGCCTGCTTGGGATTCTCTGTCTCCTCTCTGTCCTCTTTATCCTCTCTCTCCCCCCTTGAACCTTTGTTCCTCAAACGAGAATAATAATAAGCACCTTTGATACATTAGAGGCTTGCTTTGAGAATCAAATGAATATGCACTGTAGGATTTTTGTACTCTATACTGTGGTTTTAGTTTGTGAAGAGAAGTATCTAGTTCCTCGATTTGATTCATGGGATAATTTTTTTTCTTTCCTCTCAAAAGCCATAAACAGAAAAATGTAAAATAAGTTGCTTTTTATTTGTGCCATTTTCCCCCATCCCTTGAGTTATATTTTGCCATATTTATTCCATTATATTGTAAACATTTATTATCCATCATCTTGAGATTTAATATCTTTTATTATTCACTTCATGGTCTAGGCTAAAATAGAAGAAAAGGCCATTTATGAACGCTGTGGCAGTAGAAATATGTATGTGAACATAGCGATAAATACTCTTAAGAAACTGAGAGATCAAGGTAATTTCTTTATAATTAATCAAGTGATAGGATAAAAACTTGTGATCAACACCTGACATTAAACATGTTTTTTTTCATTAGCAGGGTCGTTTTTAGGTATTCAATGAAACATAGTTTAAAAATATTCTCTTGAGTAGAACATGCAAGTGGGATTTTTGGTTGAAAATAACAAATTAGATTTGAAATTAGACATATGAATATAACTCCTTGAGAGCAGTTATCATGGATATAATTAAATTTGGTTTCTAGTTATAAAAGTAACTCATTCCATGTGAAATAGTATTTCTCAGCTCTTTTTTTTTTCATTACTGCCCCCCTAAGATCTTTTTCAGACATTGTTTTTTCTACCACCCCCACCCCCAACCTCCAGTAGTATTAAGTACTTAAGGAATAATATTAATAATATTTTGTTGGGTAAGGCTGAGTTTTGGAAAGCCACATACCATTGTAATATCTATGATTTTTTTTCTTTATTCCTCAAGAGCCAGTTTTGTTTGCTTGGGGGTAATCCTACCCCCAATTTTGTTTCCTTGGGGGTATTCGAGAATACATAGCATGGATTCAAATAATACAGAAAAACATTAAAAAAAAAACAAAACAGCCAAAGACAACTTTATTCCAAATTTTTTATATAGACCCTTCCATAATGACTACAGAAATATATGTAATTTTAATAATTGAGATGAATGCAGTCATTTGGTGTATGCTCTAACTTTTTTCACTGAATAAAGTATCCTAGAAATCTTTCATCAGTTGATCTAGAATGTGTGTTAACATCCAGATCTGTATCTTACATTTTAATGACTACATGATACTCTGTTGTACAGACCTGTAGTACTGATATTCCATTGTGTAGAGTGTAGAATACAGAAGAAACACACGCACTGAGTATCTAAGTGGCTTACATGTTTTTTCTACCTTACGTTCTGTGATTAATGGAGTGTGAACTCAAACATTTCCTCATACTAGAGCCTATGTATCCTTAACATAAATCCCTGTGCACAGAGTAGCTAGCAGAAAAGGTCTGCATGTTTAAAATGGGTAAATATTGCTAACTGCCTCCAGAAAACATTTGCTGTTTACATTCCCCACTAATAGGGTAGGAGTATAAGCTTTTTCCTCACACCTTGGAAAAGTTCCTCATTTATCCCGTTCTGGAGTGTGAAAGTATAGACCAGAAATGAAATTATTTTAGCTTTTTATTATTATTATAAGGTTGAAGATCTTCCTTTTATCTATCTCAATTTAAATTGCCTTTTTGCATCTTTCTGTCCCCTTTTATTATCAGCCTATTCATCTGCAACAACCTTTCGCATATCCCCTTTTAATGGGCTTCAAATGTTTTCCTCAGTTTGTCACTCACTGGTACTTCAGCCTTATTTGTGAAGTTTGTAATAATAAAGCTTTTACTTTTTTCTATTTTTTAATGTTTGTTTTGAGAGAGAGAGAGAGAGAGAGAGAGAGCACGTGTGCACGTGCATGCAAGCAGGGGAGGAGCAGAGAGAGGAAGACAGAATCCTGGTGCAGGGCTCTATCCCATGAACCGCGAGATCATGTCCTAAGGCAAATCAAGGGTCAGACGTTTAACCATCTGAGCCACGCAGGTACCCCTAGAAGCTATTTTAGAAGTTCAGTTAGGGGCACCTGCATGGCTCAGTTGGTTAAGCATCTGACTTCGGCTCAGGTCATGATCTCCGATTTGTGGGTTTGAGCCCCACATCATCCTCTGTGCTGACAGCTCAGAACCTGGAACCTGCTTTGGATTCTGTGTTTCCTCTCTCTGCCCTTCACATGCTCATGCTTTGTCTCTGTCTCTGTCTCTCTCTCTCTCTTTCTCTCTCTCTCTCTCTCTCTCTCTGTCAAAAATAAATAAACATTTAAAAATATATATATATAAATAAAAGTGTAATTAATGTCTTGCTTTTTGGTTTCTGGGTTTTGTGTCATGCTTAGAAATGCTATTTTAATTTCAAGAATATAAAAATTTGATAATTTATGGCATTTAAACCATTTTTTTTAATGTTAAATTTTATAGTAAAGAGCATGAGCAGGGGAGAGAGGCAGAGGGGGGGAGAGAGAATCATAAGCATGTTCCACACTCAGTGTGGAGCCTGACACGGGGCTTGATCCCATAACCCTGGGATCATGACCTGAGCCAGAATCAAGAGTCAGATGTTCAACTAAATGAGCCACCCAGGCGCCCCTATGGCATTTTTTTATGTACAGCACTTGAAATAGACTTGAATACCTGTGTTACAATATACAAGGTCTCAAGAACAGACATTTCTTGAAAGGAGACCTATAGATGGCCAATAGACACATGAAAAGATGTTCAACATAACTCCTCTTCAGGGAAATAAAATCAAAACGACAATGAGATATCACCTCACACCTGACAGTGGTTACAATCAACAACACAAGAAACAAGTGTTGGTGAGGATGTGGTGTGTGAACTGGTACAGCCTCTGTGGACAGCAGTGTGGAGGGCCCTCAAAAACTTAAAAATAGAACTACCATGTGACCCAGTAATCCCACTACTGGGTATTTATTTACCCAAAGAATATGAAAACACTAATTCAGAAGGCTGTATGCACACCTGTTTATTTACAGGTGTAAATAAACCTGTTTATTGCAGCTTTATTTACAACAGCCAAATTATGGAGGCAGCCCAAGTGTCCATCAGTAGATGATGGATAAAGAAGATGTATATAGATAGAGGTGTGTGTATACATATATATGCACATACATATACACACAATGGAATATTTCTCAGCCATATAAAAGAATGAAATCTTGCTTGCCATTTGCAACAAAGATGGATCTAGAGTATATAATGCCAAGCACAGTAAGTCAAAGAAAGACACCATATGATCTCACTCATCGGTAAATTAAGAAACAACGAATGAGAGACACCTGGGTGGCTTAGTTGGTTAAGCGTCCAACTTCTGCTTAGGTCATGATCTTGCAGTTCATCTCTGTGCTGACAGCTCAGAGCCTGGAGCCTGCTTCAGGTTCTGTGTCTCCTTCTCTCTCTGCCCCTCCCCCGCTCATGTTCTCTTTTCTCTCTCTCTCCCTCTCTCTCCCTCTCAAGAATAAACATTAAAAGAAAAATGGAAAAAAAGAACAAAGGAAAAAAAAGACAAATCAAAGAACATACTCTTAACTATAGAGAACAAACTGATGGGTACCAGAGGGGAAGAGAGTGGGGGATGGGATAAACTGGCGAGGGGGATTAAGAATACACTTATCGCAATGAGCACTGGGTGATGTATGGAATTGTTGAATCACTATATTGTACACCTGAAACTAATAAAACACTATGCTAACTACACTGGAAGTAGAACAAAAAACCTAATAAAATAAAAATTGAAATAATAAGAAAACAATATACAGGGTCTCTTGTTTTAGTGTTTTCATGGTATTCTCACTCCCCCCCTTCTCTTCGTATTAAATACAGCATAAAGATACTGAACATAGAAGTCTAAGTACACATTTGGATATCTGCAATGAAATGGAAATGGTTTGCAAATTGTGAGAGTTATAGTCAGTAATGATGTAAAACTCATTGACTCATATTTAGACATACTCTAACCAATACACAGAATATAGTAGCTTTAGAAAATACAAAGTCCTGATCTAATTATTTCACAAATTACCATTTTTCCCAACTTAGCATTGGTTATGAAGTAGTTTGGTCTCCCATGTTGGGTGCCTATTTTAAGGTAAAAATAAGGACTTCACTGTGCTGTGGACCTTTCTCATGTTTTATACTTTTTTATAAAGCAGACAAAAATAATTCATTGTCTCAGAAGAAGAGTTCTTGTATGTTTTAGGTGTCCCTGGAAGCAATAACAACGATAAAACAACTGGATTGAAAAAGAATGAAAAGAAAAGTGGTAAGTTTGGTGCAATGTTGACAGACTCTTGTCCTTGTTACCTTAAAGGAGAAGTAAATGTGGTGTGATGGCAATTAGTAAACTATTGTGTTGGGGCGCCTGGGTGGCTCAGTCAGTTAAGCGTCCAATTTCAGCTCAGGTCATGATCTCACAGTTTGTGAGTTCAAGTCCTGCGTCAGGCTCTGTGCTGACAACTCAGAGCCTGGAGCCTGCTTCAGATTCTGTGTCTCCCTCTCTCTCTGCCCCTCCCCACTCGTTCTCTCTTTCAGAGAATGGACATGAAAATAAATGAATAAATAAACTTGTGTTTATGAAGGATCATCTGCAGACTGAATATTTAATAGCCTTTTTAAAAATTCGTATAAATAGATGAAAAAATGGGCTCTACTTAGGCAGTATTTGAATTCTCAGCCTCCTTTTTGAAGAGTGGTGGGAGGGGATACTTAATACCTATCCAGTCAGTGAGAGTAGTGCTTCTCAAACTTAACATGCATGGAATGACCTGGAAATCTTGTTCAAGTGCGGATTCTGATTCAGGATGTCTGGGAACAGCCTCCAAGTCTGCATTAGTAACAAACTCCCAGGATCAAAAAGCTAAAGAAAAAGTGTTACTTGATTTTGGTCGTATTTTGAATAAAACCAGATGGTAGCACCTGTCTTGTCCTCTAAGTACTTGTCTGAAACAAAGCAGGTGCTTCTAGAATCTCCTAATATTTCTCACACAGAAGAATTCTTTTTTGTACAAAAGGGTTTGCCAAAGATAGTGTAGCAAATTCTGCCAGAATTTTAAATAACATCTGAGGAGAAATTTTAGGAATCCATTCATGTGAGGGGTTGGGTCAGTGATGTTGGAAAGAGATCCTTGAACTTGAGCGTTTTGCCCTTGTGAGAGTTACCATGTTTCCTGCTTGTAAGCTTCTGTACTCTGCTTATCTCAGTGTTTATTAAGAATCAATAAGCATGATTTGGAGTCAGAAGATCTGAGTTTGTGTATTAATTGTGTTGTGTAACCTTGGTCATGTGCCCTCATTTCTCTGAGCCTCATTTTCTTTGTCTGTAAAAATGAGGTCAATAGGTTTTCGCTTCTGGGTTAATATAAAGTTCAAAGTCCTGGCGATAGTTTTTGGCATGCTTAATATGCGCTGGCTATTAATGATGGGATTCTTACTTCCCCCTCTCTTAGCCGTAGTATAGGACCTCAGATGATGCAGAGAGCAATCAGTATCTACATATCTATAGGTCAAAGGATATGAAGACTTTGGTTTTTTTAGACTACTTCCTTACTTAATGTTAATCAGCATTTGAGCTTTCCATATCTGAAAGGGTTAGTAGACTCTAACCTTACCACTACCTTAAAACATGTTATTTAAATTTTATTGAACCACACTTCTTTTTTTCTTAGCACTCACAGGAATTGTTCTCTACAGACATCTGCAAGACTACCTTCTAACGGAAGAACAGTTACATGAAAATGACTATCCACAACCCAGCCCTGAAAAACCAGGAAGTATTCTTTTAAACCCGGGCATGACCAAAGCTCTTCTAAATGACAGTAAGTGTATGGGACTGAAAATGATCCTTGCTACATGCTAAGGCTGGAACACTAAAAGGATTATTTCCCTTTCCACTTCATTTCCATTGTGTTAGAAGTTTATTTTCTTAATTTATTAAATATTAATAATCATTTCAGGTAAGTACTAGCATTACCTCCATTCACACAAATGAGGAAATTGAAGCCCACAGAGGTCAAATGACTTGTCAAAGGTCACTCTGAAAATAAGTAGGAGAGCCAGGATTTGAACCCAAGGAGTCTGATTCTAGAGTCCCTACTCCTACCAACTATTCATATGTAGTGTCAGTTTTGAATACTTCCTATCCTTTAATTAGAAATTCTTATAAAAAAGATTTACAATTAGTGTTACTATTTTACATTTTCTCTAAATACTAGGCATAGTTAAAATTCATTCCTTCCACCAAGAAGAAAGAGAGAATATTTAATATCCCAGCTGTCAAACCTTAAGTCCATTGGAGTTGGAAATGGAATTTTAGAAATATTTTTCTGGGTGCCTGGGTGGCTCAGTGAGGTAAGCATCTGACTCTTGGTTTCAACTCAGGTTATAGTTTCATGGTTCATGGGATCGAGCCCTCCATCGGACTCCTCACTGACAGTGCAGATCCTGCTTGGGATTCACTCTCTCCCTCTCTCTCTGCTCCTCCCCTGCTCATGCTCTCTCACTTGCTCTCTCAAAATAAATAAACATTTAAAAATATTTTTTTCAATGACTAGAAAATATTTATCTTTTGTATCTTTAGAATTTTTCTCGTTATTGTCTTTGCCGTTTGAGTTACCTTTTTTTTTATTTTTTCAACCCTTGACCCAGTTAAGAACAGAGGCTCTGAAGGAGGAAGGGAAACCTGCATTTGGTTGTTGGTTTTCCCTCCAGCCTTGGTTTTCCCAAATCTGGGTCATACAGCTACCCCCTCAGGTCGTTGTGAGAATCAGTTACAGGCATGCATGCGAAGTGCTCGGCACAGTACCTGCCTCAGAGGCTCATAATAGACTGCAACTAAGAGTTGCCATCATCATCAGAACCAATTTGAGGATTATCACTGAAAACCAATGTTCACAAATGGGTCTAGTGAAAAGCCCAGATCTACTCTCAATGACTTAATAAGCATGCAGGCCCCTCCATGTTTAAAGGGGATAATAAGGAAGACATATGTCCTATTTCAGGAGTTACTACGTACTAAAAGTAGATAATTAATCAAGTTGGCTACAGTCAAATTATGGCTCTAAAACCACAATTATCTGGCATTAGGCTGAATCTGGAGGCAGACAGGATGCCTGTTGGAAGACAGGCACCCCTGGTGCCGGGAGCCGGTCACCTACAAGTATTGCTTTGGGTAATCCTGCTAAATTCCCTGTTACCTCACGGTCAACCGTGGGCATGTAATCCATGCGTGATCAAGAACGCAAAGGCAGTTAATTCCCTGCATTTTGGTTCATTTGCCTTTTCTCCCCAAGTATTCATGAATAATTTCATATTTTGTTTCAGCTTCTAGGAAGATCTGTTGTCGTTGTGGGAAAATATATGGTGTGACTCCCACAGGCAAACACAGTAGGGTAGAAGAATGCTACTACCACTTTGGCCGAGTGCTGACTCAGAAAGGCAAGTATTTGGTAGTTCTGCTTCATTTATTTGACAAGCCAGTGCCAGAGCTGTTCAGAGAAAAGTGCGATAAAGTATTCAGTTCACTGTATTTGTCAGGTGCAGTCCAGTCGAGAGAAACTGTACCGAATCTGAAGTTTGAATTACAAGCACCTACTTCTGACCACCACTCGCTACCCTTGTGGCCCACTGGTGTGGGGAGTCCCAGGCTGTGAGGGGGATGCAGGAAGACCTCACACTAGTCAACTGCCTCCTGATGTCACCTGCTTTGCACCTGCCAGCATTAGAATCATTTCTTTGTTAATAGCTTCCATTCCTTGCCGCCCCCACCCCCGCCCCTGCCCTGAATGAAGATGAACTGTTGATTCCTTCCCCCACCGGCCCCCATCTTGCCTGCAACACCATAAATTTGCTACAATCCACTCAGCTGGGTTTTTTTCCTATTCAAACCAAAAACCTGGGTGCTGTCATTCGTCTTCGCACCTTTTTGTCTTAGCAGTGTGTATGTCTTAGGTATTATCCCTTAGTAATGTAGTCTGAGCCTGTCCCTTCTCTACCTCTACTGCCACTGTCTGGGTCCAAATCACCCCTATCTCAGTCCCCAATTGCTGCAGTGTCCTTCCCAGTCTCGCTGCTTCTACTGTACCCTTTTCTCTATCTACCCACACCCCCCCCCAGTCTATTTTTCACCCCAGAAACTCGAGAGTAATTTTTTACATCACATATCTGGTCCTGTCTCTGCCCTGCTTTGATTAAAACCCTTTGGTTACCTTGCTGACCCTGCCTGACTTGGTCTCTGCCCCCCATTTTCTCCCCTGTCCATTGTTACTTTCACATCACACTGACCCCCTGTCCGGAGCCTTCTTATCCATTATTCTCTCTGCTTTTGCCATGGCTGTTTCCTTTTTATCCTTTGTGTCTCTGCTTCAGTAGTACCTCCACAAGGTCCTTTCTCAACCCCACCGTCTGAAATAGGTCTGCCTTCTTCTATCCTGCCTCTTCCTTTCATAGCACTTAACTACATTTTGTAATGATCTACTAGTTTATCTGCCATCTCCAAAAGACTGTGAGCTTTTGGAAGGACCACCATCCATTCTTTTTTTTCTCCCTATGTTCTCCCCAGCACTTAGCATAGTACCTAATACATATAGACTGTCAATAAACATTTGGAGAGATGGGTGGACAGATGAACTATTGATGTAGAGATTGATATGAATGTGAATGATATTGTAATAAATAGTATGAAGAAGATAAAGCCGGGAGAAAATAGAAGAGAACAGTGGGTGTGATTGAATGACTGAATAAATACATGGATAAATAATAAATCAGGTAACTTTGGCCTGAGTGTTGAGAGCATGGAGGGCTTAGTTTTGGAAGGTGGAGGGACTATGAATTCCAGAAGGAGTAGAACAAAGAAGGGGAGGTACTGAAGAGGAGTAAGTGTAGCAGATAGACCATCAGGGCTAACCAGACCATACAGCATAATGAACAGAACAAGGACATTGGAACTGGCAGACCTGAGATTTGGGGCTCTTTTGACATCAACTTTCCCTGAGACCTTGGGCAAGTCACTTAAGCTCTCTGAGCATTTGTTTCCACCTTCATAGAATGAGCTTTATGTGGCAATTGAGTGAGCTAACATGTCAAAGTCCTGGCTTATAACAGATGCTCTGTTAATACTGGTCTCTGCCTTCTTTACTTATCACAGGAGAAGGTAAGAGAAAGCTGTGGGATGTCAAGATTGGATGAGTAATGTAAGACTGATTAAACATGAGCCTTCAGCACCAGCCTGAGAAATTTGCATTTGATCAGTAATAAACAAGGGAATGACTTGAGGAAAGTGATAAAATGAATATGTGTGCTTTAAGGAGATCATTCTAGCCCATTTTATAGGAAAACTGATGCAGAAACCACTGTAGACAGAAGGAAGTAATAGGAACAGTTGGGAGAACATTACCTTGGGCCAGAGTGAAGAAGGGCTAAGGTAGATATGGGAACAGATGAGCTGGATTATGGGATTGGGGTAAGAGATAGGAAGATCTGGGATTATAGCTGTGAAAATGTACATAGTACTGGGGCGAAGATACAGAAGAAGAGGGCATCAGGATTTGGTAGGTCCAGCCAAGGCTGGAGATGACATCTGCGTCATGGTCTCAGTCTACATAACTGGGTGATGTTTCTTGGATCAGATCAACAACTCAGACATAGGAAGGGATAATGTGGTACTTTGAGCCCCTCAGCCAGAGTAAAAAGGTCATGGAGTGGGGAAGAAAAGGTCAGGGAGTGGGGAAGATGTTGAAAACATACTTGAGGTTAAGTCCAAGCAGAATAAGGGGGTGATGCCAGAGGAGAGCTGAGGGATCAGGGCAAAATAAGAGAAGTAAGGGGGTGGAAGGTGTTCAGGACATTGGTAACTGTAATTCACCTTCAAAGTGCAATCCACAAGAACTCTGTTCCAGGAGTTGTTTTTCCTGTTCATTATGAATATCCAAAAACATGACTATGGGGAGGAGTAACATCAAGTACTTGCACAGTGTCCTTACAGGTCTTGGAGGGTAAGATAAGACACATGCTCTGGGAGTGAGCCACTCTGCCTTATAAAGTTTGCCTGATTTGATTTTTATTTTTTGATTGGTTTGCAGTCCTCGGTGGCTCAGAAACACGGTACAGCTGTTGTGAAGGTGTCCTTGGCTCTGCCGGGTGTCAGGTCGCCAAGGTAGGTCTTGTCACCCAGACCGCTGCTTGTTTCAGAACCAGACTTGCTGCCTCCAGAGATGTGAAAGAATTTGAAAGGGTTAATTAAGCTAATTTTTAGTTGGTGGAATTTTTATGAGCTTAATGGTGCTTGCAGAAATAGCCGGTAATTTATTTGGCAATGTTTATTTCAGCTTCACGTTCATGACCAAAAGGAAAACCTAGAGGGCTTTGTGAAGACTTTTGTCAAGTCCCCGCCCCCCGACGGCAATCATGGTGTATTTGCTGTGAACTGTGAGGTGGTACGTCCGTGTTTTCTCTCTTACTGCAGTAATTACAACCAAATCCTTGTGGAGCACTTGGCACGGTGTGTGTAACATCACTTGGCTGGGCTTTCTCTTGAGGCCACATAGTTCTGCGTGTAATTCACCGATCTTCAGAAGCAACTGAAGTGCAGGAGAGATGACTTGGGGGAATTCCTGTACTTAGTAAGAAATGAGGCCAGGAACTGGTCCGTGAGTCTCTTTTTATTTATTAGTTTTTCTTAATCTATCACCAGTGGTGCTTCTCCTGCTCAAATTGCTGAAATTGTGCAGGTGGAAAATGTTACAAATAATACTGTTATCCCCAGCATCAGCATAAAAACTTGAACGAATTTTCAGAAACTATTGTTTATAGAGGCAGCAAAATATTTATGGTGATTTTTCTTTATCTGAGAATCAATATGAGAAAGTAGGGAACAAACAGAACTGAATCGTATGACCTGGGAAGCTTCACTGCTTCCCTCCTGTCACCCTGGAGCAGGTATAATGGATGTTTTACTCTGTCAAGTATGGGGTTAATAATCGTTCCACGGTAACAGTAAGAATCAGATACACTAAGGGAATGTACGTGGGACGTGTCAAACATCACATGAACGGTTGTCTCTACCAAGACATAAAGTTTTTATTCCCTCTATTATATTTGGAGAGCGGATTTTAGAGTGAATTACAATAAATAGAGAAGGACATTGTTCAGTTTCCAGCTTAGGTCTTCAACTGGAAACAATTCAGGCTGCTTCAGGCTTTGAAATCAAATATTAGCATGTTGTCCTCTCCAGTGCCACATTGATATTTATGGTAAAGTTTTTCTTTTTTTCATTCAACAAGATCTATAACTGCATTAGCCAATATAATAACACTCAAGTTCTCAGTCACACTAGCCATATTTCGCATACTAAGTAGCCACCTGTGGCTAGTAGCTGCCATATTAGACAGCATAGCAGTAGAACATTTCATCATCACAGAAGGCTCTCCTGGATAGCACAGATCTCTAATGAAAGCAATTGTAAAGACTAAGCCCAGAAAATGAAATTATTTTCTTAGCAGAAATATTACTAACATTAAGGAAAAAAATTAAAGCTTGGAACATCTTTTACAAGACTGTCAGATCCACTGACTGGCTTTTGTTAGTAAATCTGAATAATACGATTAAATTGTATGTTCTAGTTAGAAGTACTCCTTTAAGATATCTTAGATGTTAAAATATGTTTACTCAATATGATATATGAGTTTAATATTTCCCCCTTGATAGGGCTACACAGCCAAAGGTTTGGAACTTACGCAAGTGACGGTGGTTGATCCCAGCCTTCAGGTGGTCTATGCTACATTTGTGAAACCAGATGAAGAAGTAATTGACTATAACACTAGGTACGGGTCATATAAAAGGGTTGTTTTTTTTTTTTTTAATATGAAATTTATTGCTAAATGGGTTTCCATACAACACCCAGTACTCATACCAAAAGGTGCCCTCTTCAATGCCCATCACCCACTTTCCCCTCTCCCACCCCCCTTCAACCCTCAGTTTATTCTCAGTTTTTAAGAGTCTCTTATGGTTTGGCTCCCTCCCTCTTTAACTTTTTTTTTCCCTTCTCCTCCCCCATGGTCTTCTGTTAAGTTTCTCAGGATCCACATAAAAGGGTTGGTTTTTGAGACTGTGGAATATTCAACATGTAGTTTATGTGCATTTTAGCTTTGTACTTGTATTCATTTAGTGTTAGAGCATGAGTTACGCTATTTGCCTTTAATTCATTGATTTGTTCAAGAACATTCATATTTTATTAAGTACTTGATAAAATTGTACAGACTGTGTTAGATCCCAGGTTACAACCCTAAATAAGAGACAAAGCTTCAGCCCCGTTGAATGTTGACATGTTGGAGTGGTAGGTAGGAGGTGAGAGAAGCACAAATAGTGAATAGATTTTCTTATTCATTCGTTTGTTAAATCATTAATCAGTTCCTTTTGAAAATACCATATTATCTTCTTCCATTAGGTAAAAATTGTCATTAGATAAAATATCTGCAATCTTATAGACATGTCCCTGAGTATACATGGCTTTGATATGGTTTGCAAAGTAATAGTTCAGGGCAGATTCTCCTAATAATCATTATTATTAAAGTATGACCTATCTCTGACCCAAACTCAATGCTAACTTGAAATTGTACAATATAGATGCATCTTTAATTTTTATAAACCTCAGATGAAACTCCAGTGATATGATTGATCAGTCAAATTTAGGTTTCCTTAAGGCTTATAAGCCATATAAAATGACATATTTGTATATTGAAAAATAAAATAGAAGGCACTGATCTGAATTCACTTTAGAATAAGAAGTGTTTATTATTGGTGGGATTATATTTATTCAATTTTAACAAATTCTCCAATACTACTTAAAATTACTTATTTATATGTGTGTGAGTATATATATATGATTTGTTTAGATATCTAAACGAATAGGACTTATCTATACACAGAGTATATATATCATATGGTATATATATACTATATAGAATTTATATAGTATACATAATATAATTGTAATAGTGTATATAGTAAAAAATCTTATATATATTATATATAAAGTATGTGTGTCATATAATGTGTATATGTCCATCATTTTAGAACACAAGCAAAGTGGTCATGTAAGTTAAAAGCTGTTTTGATGATGAATTTTGAGAATATTTATAGATAATTCTAACAAACATTTTTTAATATAAAGTCCCTCACAGTTCATAAAAATGGTTGTATGCACAAAACTCAGGAAAAGTTATGATCAGAAAATATTTTTTGTATACTAATCTTTCTCCTGACCTCATTGGATTTTTTTTCCTACTCATTTTGGCCATATCCTAATAGCCCTATTTTACTGTTGTTTTTTTTTTTCCAGCTGTATTGGGGTATATTGGCAAACAGAATTGTAAAATACTTACAGTTATCGTACTTTTATTGGTACTTATTCTTCCATGGCCTTAATGGAATCTTTCCTACCTGCTTTTTGGAACAGGTCAGGAAATACTTGGGTAGTTATTGGTATTCATAGTGACAAAATGGTAACTGAAGGGTCTGCATTATAAATAAATATGGAGTCTCAAAACAACTTCAAATGCATTCAATGCCTTGCATTTTTTAAAAACGGTTTTAAAATAAACCCAAGTACCCCTTGATAACTTCCTCTTAGTCCAAATATTTGATTAATTATCACATTCCCTAAGCTTGATGACTTGATGATGGAGTCAGGTATCTTTTTTTTTTTTTTAACTCTGAAAGTATAATTAGCACACATTATCAGTTTGAGGTGTACGACATAGTGATTTGTCATTTGTATACATGTGAAATGTTCACCACAATAAGACTAGTTACCATCTGTCACTGTACAGAGTTTAAAACTCTTGTCAGAACTTGTAAGATTTACTTTGTTAGCAGCTTTGAAATTTACAACACAGTATTGATGATTGTAGTCCCAATGTTGTACATGACATCCCTTTGATTTATTTTATAAGTGGAAATGTGTACCTCTTGATCTGCGTAATCTGTTTTTTCTACTTCCTACCACCTTCCCCTCTGGAAACCACAATTCTGTTCTCTATGAGTTTTGTTTGTTCATTTGTTTAGCCTTTAAGAGTCCATTTATAAGTGAAATCATACGGTGTTTGTCTTTCTCTGACTTATTTCACTTAGCCTAATACCATCTAGGTTCATCCATGTTGTCACACATGGCAAAATTCCATTCATTTTAATTTTTAATTTTTTTAAACATTTATTGATCCTTGAGAGACAAAGCATGAGTGGGGGTGCGGCAGAGAGAGAGGGAGACACAGAATCCGAAGCAGGCTCCAGGTTCTGAGCTGTCAGCACAGAGTCCAATGAGGGGCTTGAACTTGTCAACTGCAAGATCATGACCCAAGCCGAAGTCGGACGCTCAACTGACTGAGCCCCCCAGGTGCCCCAATTTCATTCATTTTTAGAGCAAAGTGGTATCCCATTGCATATACCACATCATCTTATCAGTTAATCCATCAATGAATACTTAGGTTGTTTCCGTATCTCGGCTATTGAAAATAATGCTGAAATAAACATTGGAGTACGTACTTTTTTTCTTATTCTTCAGATAAATACCCATAAGTGTAATTAGTTGCTCATATGGTAGTTCTATTTTTATTTTTTTGAGGATGCTCCATATTTTTCATAGTGGCCACACAATTTATATTCCCACCAACAGTGAATGAATGTTCCTTTTTCTCCCTATCTTCACCAATACCTGTTATCTTTTTGATAATAGCCATTCTAACAAGTCTGAGGCAATATCTCATGGTGGTTTTGATTTGCATTTCCCTGAAGATTAGTGATACTGAACATCCTTTCATGTGCCTATTGGCCATCTGTATATCTTTGCAAAAATGTCTATTCAGATCCTATGCCTAATTTTAATTGGATTGTTTGGGATTTTTTGTTGAGTTGTATGAATTCTATCTATTTCCTGGTTAGTTATTAACTCCTTACTGGATAAATGATGTGCAAATACCTTTTCCCATTCAGTATGTTATTTTGTTGATGGTATCTTCTACTGTGCAGAAGCCTTTAGTTTCATATAGTCCCATTTGTTTATTTTTGCTATTGTTGCCATTGCTTTGGAGTCAGAGCCAAAAAAAAAAATTCTGAAGCCAATGTCATGGAGCTTTTTACCTGTTCTCTTCTGGGAGTTTTGTGGTTGCTGGACTTATAGTTGATAACTTTTTAATTTTTGAGTAAGGTATAAGATAATAATGCACTTTAATTCTTTTGCATGTGGCTGTCCAGTTTTCAGCACCATTTATTGAAGAAACTAACTTTTCTCCATTGGATATTCATTCCTTTTTTGTTATGTATTATTTAACCGTATGTACATGGGTTTATTTCTGGGCTTTATTCTGTTCCATTGATCTCTGCCTTTGTCTCTTGATCAGTACTAAACTGCTTTGATTACTATAACTTTGTAATAATGTTTGAAATCAGGAAGTGTGTTGCCTCTAACTTTGTTGTTCTTTTTCAAGATTGCTTTAGCTATTCAGAATTTTTTGTGGTTCCATAAAAATTTTTGAATTGTTCTATTTCTGTGAATAATGCCATTGGAATTTTGATAGGGATTGCATTGAATCTGTAGACTGCTTTGGGTGATATGGAAATATGAACAATATTCTTCCAATCCATGAGCATGGAATACCTTTCCATATACTGTTGTCCTCTTCAATTTCTTTCATCAGTGTCTTAGTTTTCAGTGTACAGGTCTTTTACCTCCTTGATTAAAGTTATTCCTAGGTATTTTATTCTTTGTGATGCTTATATATGGAATTTTATTTATGAAATTTCATTGTTAGTGTAAAAAATGCAGATTTTTGTATATTGATTTTTGTACCCGGGAAATTTACTGAACTCATGTAGTCTATCATTTTTTTGTTGAGTCTTTATATTTTCTATACAGAAAATCATGTCATCTGCAAATAGTGACAGTTTGACTTTACTTTCCAATTTGGATGCCTTTGATTTTTTCCGGCCTCATTGCTCTAAAACTTCCAATACTATATTAAATAAAAGTGGAGCCAGGTATGTTTTGTTTTTGACAGGAGACCATAATGTCAATATAAAATTTAAGTTCAAAATACCTTCCCAGTATTTTTATCATTTGCTTTTCTCCTAAATTGCAGTACAGCGTAGCAGTAGCCATGTTTCTGGACAGTTATCTAGAAAATGCTTCATGAAAGCCACTCGGGTAGGTTTTTTTGTTTTTTGTTTTTTTATTTTTTAATTTTTTTTATGTATATCATTGGGTACTTATAAGCCATTAAGATTGGTAAGTGACTCTACAGATAAGACTGAGCCCAGAAGGTTAAGTAATTTTCTGAGAATCTGTGGAGGAAGTAAATAGCAGAGTCCTAGACTAATTCAAGCATAGGTTATCTAGACTCTACCTAGGACTCCATTTGCTCTCCTATGCTACCCATATTTCACTTATAGGCTTTATATTTTTATTATTTGAGTATATTTGACATGCAGTGTTACATTAGCTTCTGGTGTAAAATGTGATTCAACATCTCTGTACATGATACTATGCTCACAAGTGTAGCTAGCATCTATCACCATACAATGCTATTACAATATTATTGACTCTATTCCCTATGATATACTTTTCATCCCCATGACTTAGTCATTCCATAACTACAAGTCTGTTTCTCCCATTCCCCTCTTGACATTTTTCCCATCTTCCTATCCCCGTTCCCTCTGGCAACCATCAATGTGGTCTAATTCTGCTTTTTGATTGTTCTTTAGTTTCCACATGTGAGTGAAATCTCAGACTGACTTATTTCATTTAGCATAATACCCTCTAGGTCCATCCATGTTGCCACATATGGCAAGATCTCATTCTTTTTTAATGCTGCATACTATTCCTGTGTGTAGGATGAGCGGTATCACATCTTCTTTATCCATTTAGCTATCAGTGGACACTTAGATTACTTCCATGTCTTGGCTATTGTAGATAATGCTTTAATAAACATAGCGGTGTATATAGCTTTTTAAATTAGTGTTGTTGGTTTCTTTGGGTAAATAACCAGTAGTGGAATTATTGGATCATATGGTATTTCTACTTTTAATTTTTTGAGGACCCTCCATATTGCTTTCCACAGCGGCTTTTTTAGGCTTACTTTAATGGGAGATAGGTTACTTAACTAAATTGTAATGGATAAAACTGAGCTTCTACAAAGAGGAGCATTCAAAGGAATCCTGTGAACTTGGAATGCCTCCTGCCTTCCCAGCCTTACATAAATTAATCCGTATTATAAATTTTACTAGGTTACAAATATAACCTAGTGGAGGGGCAGCTGATGGTCATAAGTCAGATCTTTGTTTTGTTCAGTGAATGTTTCTCACATTGGGTCAGTAATGTGTTCTAACCATACCTGATGAAATCCAGTAAGTTACTTTCTTCTATGCATTATGTGTCTTATTGGGGCAGGTTTTCTGGTGTGGTCGAAGAGGACCTGAAGAACATTAAAACTTCAATCCGTGATGTCCAAGCCATCCTGTTGAACCTGTTCAGTGCTGACACTGTCTTAATTGGACACAGCTTTGAAAACAGTCTTTATGCTCTTAAGGTAAAGAAATACAGGCTTCTACTTTTACAAACCAGTATGTGTTAAGATGGTAGTCATTATCATTGTTATCAGTGATTGTTGATTTGCCCCATTAACTAAGAAGAAAAGAACTGCTGTCCATGTTGATAACATAGTCCAACTATTATAAACCAGAAGCTACAATATAAGACAGCTAAAGTCATTTGGTTCATCCAGATCAGAAAGTCCATTAATTATGATAAAACCAAAATCATTGTTTAACATCCTCTTTAATAATTGTCTTTAATACTCAAATGGGGAAGACTAAGTTTATCTAACAGGTTATTTTATTCACATCCTTAGAGACACTTTTTCATATTAAGTCAGGTAGGTTTATAGGTACGCTCAAAATCAAATGTCATGTTCATTTTTTTTGGCATGATCTACTTGAAAATCTCCCCTGTAATATATTTCAGGTTAAGATTATCTGTTCTTTGCTGTGTGTTCTAGAACAGGAGTCAGAACACTATGGCCCATGCTGGCCACCTAGTTTTTGCAAATATTGTTGTTAGACCCACTGCTGCCATTCACTTCTGTATCTTCTGTAGCTGCTTTCATGCTACAGTAGCACTGCTAAATAGTTGTAGCAGAGACTGTGTAGTTTCCAAGCTGAAAACACTCACAACTGGGCACTTAAAGACAGAGTTTGGTGGCCACCCCTGTTCTAGAACACTGGCATCCAATCGGCCTTTCTATATGTTCACTATCTACTATGGTAGATGGTAGCCACGTTTGGTTATTGAACATTTACAATATGTCTAATGTGACTGAGAAAATGATTTTTGCATTTTTTAGATAGCCACATGTGGCTAGTGGCTTATCAGAGGGCACAGCACAGCTCTAGAACTTTGGAGACTCTAGAACTTTCAGCCACCCTAGGACTTACCTTCAGGCAAAGAAGGGCTAGTTCTTTTTTAGTGCAAGAATACCAGTAAGGCCATTTACATTTCATGGGTGAATGTCAGCCTTTTTCTATGTAAAGCTGGGATTCAAAGAATAGATATTTGTCTCAAATAGCATTGTTGTCTCTGCATGTGACAGATAATACTGGAATGTGCTTCCACTCAGACCCTGACAAGCTGTGTGGAAAGAGAGGTGGGGACATAAATTTTTTGTAAGAACGCTCTTTCCAGGGATGTCCTTCCCTCACCTTCCATCACCTCAGTGACCTCACCTCTCAAACTGTTCAGGAGCCATCCTATTGCACCTGTCTCCCAGACCACACAATTTCTAGCCATCATGATTCCTCATTGTGTTCAGTCTGTTTCTTCTGTCCAGATAACTCCTGGATTTTCCTGTTTGTCTCTGTTTCCACCACCACCTTCTTTTATTTACTCAATACTCTGCAGCCAGGAACTGGTGTCTCTTTGGTAGTTGACACATTAAAGGAGAATTTAAGTGCTTCTAGGCATGCTGAAGGTTAAATTTCCAATTCCTCAGTTTTCAGTGGGTCTTTAAATTACTCTTGAGGCTAATCTTCTTGCATGCACCTTTCAAAAATGCAACTCTCCTAATGAATCCAAACTGTTTCTAGGCTCTGTTGTCTGACTGCTCTTCATCTATCCTGTTTTCTGCTTTCTGAAACTTCTGTAAAATTTATTCACCATCTTACATGTATAAGCACAGGAAATTTGGAACTAGATGGGACACAGTCCTTGTCCATGCCCCCTCCCCGGACACAGACAAGTAAACCACTAATCTGCGGTAGGACATGTGCTAGGTTGAGGTGTGCCCCCTCAGCTGAGTCCCAAGGTGGTAGGGGCATGGCTTTGCATCTCCCCCCAGTCTTTGATGGACCCTCTCGGCCCTCATGCTGCCCCCTGGTGGTGCTCTCACAGTAGGAAAGTGGTTCCCAAAGTCTTAGATTTGATTTCTGGGTTCTCTACTAACTCCCTTCTTAATCTCTCAGAGCTTCAGTTTTCTTGACTGTAAAGAAGGGACAAAAGGTCTACCCCATTGAGTTATTCTGCAAGTTGTAATGGATATTCCATGTAGCATGCTTAGTCACTGTTACATCATAACTGCTTCATGTTACTTGCTTTTGTAGCATAACTCTGCTGCTACCATTATTGTTGCTGCTATCTATATGGTTACTCATTGGGAAAAATCTCTGATAGGATTTTCTCTTTCTTTTGACAGTTAATTCACACTTCAGTTGTGGACACAACAGTTCTGTTTCCTCATCGACTAGGCTTGCCTCACAAAAGATCCCTTAAAAGTCTGGTGGCTGACTACCTACAGAGGATTATTCAGGATGATGGTAAGAGCCTGTTTGCTAATGATAAATACCAGGGCCCTACGTCTGACTTAAGTAAACAAACCATGTGATTGATGGTAAAAGTTCTGCCCTCTGAAATGCTTAAGGTAGGTTCTTATTCGTGGATTCTCTCCTATAGTGGAAAGACTTGTACCTGCTTATGTGAAAGCTTGTAAAAAGCCAATGCCCACTTCCAGGTATAGTCCTGGATCTTCCACAGGCATCAAAACAGCAGCTATACAGAAAATGATGGCCAGATAATTGTTGGGCAAATTGCCTGGCCTTCGAATTCATGTATAAAACTTCTTTTGGTGTGGAGATCGAATTCCATTCTAAATTTTGCTGTGTACCCCTTTTCATATAGGCTTTTCATTAAATGAGGTTATGAAATTCACTGGGTTCAGGTTATATCACCCAGAGTAAATGGTGTGTTGTTAGAAGAAGTATAGCTCAAGTTCAATACATGCATTATATGTGCACTTGACTTCTACTCAATTAGTGTATCTTGCTCCCAGAACATTTTCTGGGTTTGTTGATGATTAACTTGTCTAATGTTGGGTGTATTTCAAGTACAAGTGTAGCTACCACCTCCCTTGTTAGTGGCATTGCTGTATGCACAGTTGAGCAGTGCATGCCTTGGAATAGGTCAGTTACTCAACACCTTCATGCCCATATAGTTTCCTCTTACGTACAATACGGAAGTGTGAGAAAATTAATTCTGAGCATGTTAAAATTTGTTACAATGCTATGTTTCTAAAGATACCTAAGATACGGGAAGCCCTTCTGATCATGTCATGAATTGTACAAAATACATATTGTACTCCTATGGTCTTTTTCTTTCATTCTTTGTGAGACACTAATACAATCTCAAAGTGGATCTTTACCTGCTTTGTTAAAAATACATCTCAAAGAGCTCCTACAAAATTCTATTATAAAATGTATTCTATTGCAATCCATCTTAAGCCTTACACATGAAAATATTTCACTTAAAAAGTAGCTTATATAAAAATACAGATACTTTTTGTTTTTTCAGACTTTTTCAGAGTAACACAAATGAAAAATACACCCACTATTTCAGAAGTGCTAGTATGATTTTTCTCATTTAATCTCATACATTTATTATCCTCATCAGAACTATAGACTTTATATTCTGGGTAAATTTCATCCACTCTTTTAAATCATGTACTCTTGTATCTGAGGTCATTCTTTGTGTAGACAGTTCTACTTCTCCTCACAGACTGTTTTTGACTCCTAGCTGGATCTCTTTTTGTAATACCTGCCCCTTTGTTACCTTCCCTCTGGACCTTCTTTCCAGAGAGAGAGCACCCATGAGCTATCTAGTCACAGCAAAGCAGTCACCATGCAAGGACAGGCTACATAGGAAAAGGGAGATGTTTGCTAATCTACACTTATGTACCGCATTTACAAAGCAAACAAAATACCATTTTGCTAAGTGACCAGTGTTAATTTTTTATAAAGGTTAACTCCAGGCTTTGTTTTGAGAACAGCTATGGGTGATATCATGGGTACAGTCATTGTCTAACACATTGCTTTATATTCTGTACTACTTGGAGGTCACAATTCAATTGACAATGCAACTGCCTGCATGGAACTGGTCCTCTGGAAGGTAAAAGAAGACCTGAAAGGAAGGAAGTAATCATTTTGTCTGACAAGATCTGCAATCCCTGCCTTGCTGTGTCAGTGACCCCTCTGGCCTCTGCTGCCGCCAGTAGAGTTTGGTCTATGATGGCATGAAGTTTCTTGACCTTTTTCTTCAAAGAGGACAAAGGAAAGCGCTGTTGAGGTTTATTTATTACATTTTAAAGGCTAATTTCCATAGTTTATTTCTTAAGTTATGGTTGCTGAGGGGAGAATGGTTAATGGGTAAATTAAAGTTGGTTTGTTTTGAATTTTCGGTTCCCCTTCATTGATAGTGAGTAACAATGGTTTCAAGTTGAAGCAATGAGTCCGTGACTTCCATCAAGGTCATGTCTGAGGTTGCATACATTTCTTTTTCTCTCTCAATACCTAAAACCGTCTTTACCTAATACACAGACTTTTTTTTAGGTCTCATATATATGTAGGATAGGTTTTCCTCACAAAGTAAATGTAAATTTAACAAAAAGATTTAGGTCTTCTGGCTAATGCATTATGTGTTTTTATTCTAACTGCTGTAATGTTACCTGATTTTAATTCATAACCACTCCTTTTTCTAAGGCAGTGTCCTGTGGGTCCCCCAAAAGTACCACGCTCTAACCTGTGTTCGTAATATCGGAATTGTCTGAATTCCTTTGAGGAATTAGCTCCTCCTTGCTTAATTGCTTTTTGATGATGTGGAAACTACACGACATAACTCAGTTTGATTACCCGTAAGGATGAACCTTCAATATTAATGTTGCTAAAATGCTGCAAAATGACAAAGGTTTCTTTGCCGATGATACAGGTGCATCTGAGTAACCAGTAGGGAGACCTGAGTGCCAGAAGGACCTCAGGTGCCTGCGACGACAGGCCCTCAAACATACTTCAGGTTTGCTGCCTTGGCATTCTGAGTTACAAACAATGATCACTGAACGTCTTTTTCTTACTGTTGCAAGTACTTCTTCGTCATGTCTCTCTTCATGTACTTGACATGAAATAAAATAATTCAAATTTTGGATACTATGAATTTAAGTAATACGTAATTAAGAAGGTCAAACTATTATGGGGGGGAAAAACCTTAACGTTTGTTCCAAAGCCATATGAAAAATGTGAAGGTCTTATTTACATTTTCAGATCATCCTTGTTGTGGGTCATTTCCACATACTATACATTCAAGCTAGCAGTTGTCAGGAGTATCTCTACAGCATTTGGGTAAAAAGCAAAAGAAACTATTGGGACTCATTATCAAGGTCTCTTCATTTAAGTTCTCAGTTGGAGGTATATGGCCCTGGCAAGAAAATGAACTAGACACAACACTTCTAGATGTTTCCAATTCTGGGAGCTTGGGAGCCCCTGTCTGGCCGAGTACCCACCTGCTGCTCTACATGGATCTTACTGACAAGTTCAAGGAGGATAACTTTAAAGTATAATAAAGATGTTTGTCAATACCTATGAGAAACATTCCCGGACGAAAAGTGGGTAGGCAAGACATTTATTCACTTACTGTATGACCTCAGTGCCACATGTGCCTACGGTATAAACTGTCAACTCACAACTGATCAACAATGAAACTTTACAACGTGCAATACATGTAGGGATGTTCAGTTGATACAAATGTCGCATGTCTCCTAAGTGGAACTCCAGGCTTCCTACTTCAGTTTCTTAAAACACACAAATCCATGATACCAGAGAAACTAAAACCAAATCTCATTAATTTTTCAAACTTGTACTTCTCTAAAGATTCTTAGACTTGTATGGAATGAGATTTAAGCTTACTTTTAGGTGTTAGCATTCTGGATTGACTGGTGGGGTCTGGAAACACATGACGAAGTTGACAAATGACCAAGTGAAAGTGGGATGGCTTCTATACACGAGGGAGAAAGTTAAGAGATGGACAGCAGGATCTCTTTTAGATGTTAACCTCTATCCTGATAGAACTAACCTATTTCCCCCACTTTTCTTACCCAGGCTATCAGGGCTGGTGTTAGGTTTACTAACAAGATCTTTCTTCTACAGAGCCAAAGATTTTATAGCATTCACTATGAAGGTAAATATCAAAAATACCTAGGATGATAATGAGTTATGCATCATAGTAATTGTACTCACACACCTTCCTGTAAAGTCCATATTTTTAGAAAAATATATTATTGCATATGAAACCACAAACAGGCATTCTGATTTCAGCACATTCTTACTCGAAACAGTATATACAGTCCTATGAGAGTCAAAGTGTACTATAGATTCACACACATGGGTTTTTGTGGTAAAGTCCCAGACACACAGCAATATATGTACATGTTTATGTTCTAGGTCACCTCTCTTGGCACAGTCTTGCTGGCTTGCTTGGCATCAAGGGTCTTCATGCCAGTGGAGGGGAGACAGAACATACAGACATACAGACAGAACATCCTAGGCTGCCTCCTCAGCCGAGCAGTCGATCCCTGCGTAGGCAAACTTCTCATAAAGCGTGGTGTTCACGTAAGTCTACAAGAGCAAGAATGGGTCAGAGACACAGGCTCTCCCGGTACTGCCTCTGCACGTGGCACTTACAGTCATACCCCAGCTCCCTTCATATGGTTCAAGGACTAGGTACCTGGGGGACATTTTTCTGTCTTAAGTTCCCATGTTGTATTTGACAACTTTCTTCCTGAAATGCATCCCTCGACCTCAGCAGGTAAGATTTCACTCTGTCTCTCTCTCCAGGCCACTCTCTGCTGTCCCTCCGGAGATGTCCCATTCTCTACAGATACTTTCTCTGTCCCCATCCCTGTGGGTGACCGCCCTCCCCCCCCCATCTCTGGTTTAATTACCACTTGCATTGTGGTAACCTGCCATCCATTTCCTTAACCTAGACTTGACTTTTCAACCTCAGATCAGTATAGCTGACCACCTGCTGGACATTTTGATAGACTTCCTGCCCCTCCCCACAGAAACTGGACACCAGGCTCCACTACTACTGGCTGTGTGTCCTTGGACACATCACTTTCACCTCTTTGTGTATATTTCTTCTATAAAATTGAAGGATCAGGCCACATTACTTATGAGGCTCACAAGCTAATTCTATCTGTTCTACCACATGTGACTCTTTTTTATAGAAATCTTACCACCTCTGAAATTGTAACTTGCTCAGAGTTAGCGGCCACATCTTTTATGTCCCTCTAATACCAAGGGCTATGCCCAGAAGTACTTGGTGACTTGTATCAGACATTTTTTTTAACCATACAGGGCACATGAGGAATTCTGACTCAAGAGCCTGCCCTGAGCCCCATGCTCACCTTGCGTTCTTCTAACATCCTGTTTAAGGACACCAATATCTGGGCAAATGACGGCCTCTCATAAGGCTTCTCCCGCCAGCACTGTCTCATTAGATCATACCTTTGGAAACAAAGAGTTAGCCAGTTAACTCTGTGCTTCAGTCCTGGGCATGGCCCAGTGTGGGGTATGGAAAACAAAGAAAGTAGACTTTCAACACATGGTCATTACACTTGACTGGCAGCACAGGGTACAGCACTGAGTTTTGATCCAGCCTCCCACCTCCCTCAAGACCCCCTTTCTTCTGCCAGCAAATCTAGTGCCTCCCCTGAGTACCATTCCTGCAGGATCTTGGTCTCACCTCTTCTGATTATCTGGAAAGAACTCAGTCATGTGTCTAGGGCAGCATGTCCCTTGGAATACTGTGTCTCTCAAAATGTTATTTTAAAAAAAAATGGCTCCATACTCTAATAAATTTGCCAACTTCCACACTGCATCTCCCTCTTAGGGATTAGCAGAGCAAACTCTTGAGAAGTCTTGCCATTTAAACAAAAAACCTGTTTAATCTGACTTAACATGGAATTTCCCAAGGTGACCACAGAACTCCTTCCCCCTTCTATCACTTCTTTACCTCTTGCACGTACATGAACACAGTCTGGGAAGCACTGGTCTAAGACAGTACTCTCCCAAATGTGGTCAGAACCACTTGCGTTATTAAAATGCAGATTCCTGGCAGTGCCCTCCCCCCTCGCCCCAGGGCTACAGAACCAATGTCTGACTGGGCTCAAATTTTCACACTGGGAACAAATGCCTCAGGGGAACCTTATGTGCACAGAAGGCTATCAACCTAGCATGGTCTAGGTTTATGGCCTCTTGTATCAGTACCATAATTAATAGCACTCTTTCTTAGAAATGGCTCAGTTTGGACAATAAATTCTTTGCTGAACCTAGAGCCTTGTGCTTTCACATCATGCCAGTTAGGCAGCAGCTAACTCAGTTTTGAGAATGGTGGTTTCACAAAAGCTAATCATTCTTCCCCTGGGTATAATTCTTACTCCTAGAAAACAATCCTTGCAGAAGCAAGATTCTATGACCAAAAAAAAAAAAAAAAAAAAAAAAAATCTTCCTACTATCACAGCCTAAAATCTCTGTCCCCCAAGTTAGTCTCAAGGTTTCATGCATTTACTCATGAAGAGTCTCATGAATTGATTTCAGATCTTTTCTGCATTTTTTGCCTTTCATTTCAACCTTCCTGATAATCATCACCTTAAATTCCTCCTGGATTTCTGTGCCTAGGAAGCTCTCAATTCCCTGCCCATTACAGAATGGTATTAGTTTAAGGAACTCCCCTTCTTTTTTTGGGGGGGGGGGCAGTATGTAGGATCTCAATGTGTGTGCATGTACAGGTATACATATACGCATGTGTGTATGAATCAGGTACCCCCTTCATTAGTATCAGTCTGTCCAAGAAACACACAGAGGAAGGTTAAGATAAAATGGCCCTAAGGTGCGGGGCGCCTGGGTGGCTCATTTGGTTAAGTGTCTAACTCGATTTCAGCTCAGGTTATCATGTTTCAGTTTGTGAGATTAAGCCCCGTGTCAGGCTCTGCGCTAACAGTGTGGAACCTGCTTGGGATTCTCTCTCCCTCTCTCTCTGCACCCCCTCCACTCACTCTCTCTCTCAAAGTAGACTTTTTAATTTTTTTTTGTAATGTTTATTTCTTTTTGAGAGGAAGAGACAGAGTGCAAGCGGGGGAGGGGCAGAGAGAGAGAGGGAGACACGAAATCTGAAGCAGGCTCTGAGCTGTCAGCACAGATCCGGATGCAGGGCTCGAACCCACAAGCCGTGAGATCACGACCTGAGCCAC